AAATTCTGATATCCAAGTGTAAAAAAAAGATACTTGCCTTTGTAAATTCAAAAGACATATTGACAGTACATGGCTGAGAAGTTTGAAATACATTTTATATTTGGGTGATTCCAAAGAAAACCTAACTTTAGGTTTTTAAGTTTATTACTGTTCGGACTTACCTAATCAAATTTACAAGAAGTTGAGTCACTAAAAAATATACTTAAAAACCCAGAGTAGTTTTCTCTTAGTATCACCTATTTATAATAACACTTTGAAAAAAGCCATATTCAATTAATAGAGATCTTGTAGTATATACTTGGATCTAATTAGTAATGGGTTTCTGTTGACAAAAACTTCTAATATTCTAACACAAGTAGTATAAAAGACTTATTTTCAACAAATTTTTGGAATATATTCATCTATAAAGCTAAAATCTAAGTTTTTAATATTAATAAATATTATATATTAGTAATCATACTATACTTAGTAAATGAAGCGTTCGTCTAAAGCAAACTTTTTCAGAAAAAAATTATATACTTTAAGTTTTAATATTAAAATCTTGTGGTATTATTCTATCGATTATATTACATAAATAAAAAACTTTATTTTAAATTTATTAACTTACTTATAGTTTAAAATTTTCAATTTGGGCTTATATATATATGATCTGTATCATATTATTATATGAAAATTTTACTAGCTAACTGACGGATCATCAATTAATTTATTTTTAATAATTTTGTATTTTTTAAAATAATTGTATAGACAATATTTAAAGTTATCATAATGAATTAGATACTTTAAAAACAAAATTAATATATTAATTTTATATACAAATTATCTGTTAATTAATTTTTTAAAATTACTAATATATATTAAAAATTTATTAATAAATTAATATATATGTCGTACATGGGAACAGAATTATGATGAGTTCGGAATCAACTTAGGTTGAAACGCAATTCCAAATGTGGCCTAAGTTGATACGAAATCTAAAAGCAACTTAAGTTGATTCTAAATTTGATGCTCATAATGAAAGTGTAATTGATAAATTTAAAAGCAACTTAAGTTAATTCTAAATTCGATACTTTAATAAATGTATAATTGATTGACATAGTGATAGATAGAGTAAAATTACGTATTAAATGATTAAATATTTAAATACATATTTATTTATTTTTTATTTCGCTTATTCATTCTTTACAATTCTTTCTATCTGATAACTGAGCCTCAAGATTATTCATTCTTATCTCGTAATATATTTGATAACCTGCTTTCAAATTATCTTGATAGCAAATCTGTTACTAGGCAACGTAAAACCTTTATTACATGTGAAGACTTTGATTTCTGTATTAAGGTTTTACAAAATCCAGAAAGTACAATAATCGGGAATGAAAAGATCGTTATTGGGCAAAAAAAACATTTGCTATACGTGATCTTGGTACACAAGCAAACCCCATAATTCAATTTATTAAGGTCGATTCAAATCTACCTGTATGTCCGGTTGATAAAATATATGAAGTATTATGCAGCTTGCATCAAGGGGTATTAAAACATGTTGGTTCATCAAAGCTTTGGGATGCGGTATATAACCTGTTACAATATTAGTAGTTATATGATAAATAGTTAATATTATATGTTGATCAATTAAAATTTTCATGTAGGTTTCAGAACAGTACTGTTATATTCCACAGTTTTTTGTAAAGAAATTTGTAAGGAACTGCACAACATGTGCTACACAAAGAAATTTCCCAAATCCAGTAGCTGCAAAGCCGATAATCTCAAATGCCTTTCTCAATAGGGTTCAAGTAGATTTAATTTCTATGACCAGTATTTCTGATGGTGATTATCGTTACATATGCCATATCCACGATCATTTCACATGGTATTCATGGGCTTGAGCTATAACTAGTAAATGACCAATTGAAGTGGCTATATTTCTTTTTGACGTTTTCGTCTGCTTCGGTGCCCCGATTATTCTTCAGACCGATAATGGTCATGAGTTTACTGCGGAGGTGATTCATGAATTATTGACTATATAGCCCCATGTCCACATTATTAATGGCCACCCAAGGCATCCACAAAGCCAAGGGCTTGTAGAACGTGCAAATAACATTCTTCAACAAAAGGTGTCCAAGTAGATGGAGGATATACAAAGAAAAGATTGGTCACGTGCTGTGCCATTGTGTTGCTGTATATATTTAAATTAAATTTTATTAACGTTAATAACTTAATAATTACAATTTTTGATTTTAGATGCTATGAATATACAAACATCACGGCAAACTAAAAATAGCCCGTATTCATTAGTATTCGGTCAAAACTCTTTATGTTATTTTTCATTATTGAAAGAAGTCAAAAAGCAACGTATTAATTATGAAGACAAATTACCTGATAATTGGTTTGAACCTTCTGAGCCTCAGGATGCTTTCGATCGGCAAGAAATTGTGGAATCACTTTTAGAAGCCGCAGCTTTGAATATGGAGGTAATAATTTTTTCTTGTCAGTCCCATGATATCTAAGCTAATCGGTCCAAATATCAGGCTAAATGCTAGTATTAAAAGAAATCAATTTTAGCATATTAATACTAAAATTAATTCCTTTTGATACTAGTATTCAGTCTAATATTTGGGCTGTTTAGCTTAGATATCACATGACTGACGAATTTTTGTGTACTTTTTTCCTATAAAATAATTTTTTTTTTTTTTAATTTAAAATAAATTATTTTAGGAACAACAATTACTGGAACATATTAATGAGGAGGTGAATAAAATAGTTGATAGAGAGATGAATATGGATAAAGAGATGGATGAAGTAATAGATGTGAATAAAGAGTTGGACGAAGTGATAGATGTGGATAAAGAGATAGACGAAGTGGTATATGTAGATAAAGAGATGGACGAAGTGATATATGTAGATAAAGAGATGAATGAAATAGTGAATATGGATATATGGATAAAGAGGTAGATAGAGTAGTGGGTGTGGATAAAGGGATGTTTGAAGTGGTGGATGTGGATAAAAGGATAGG